GGTTCACATGGTTTTAGAATAAAGACAGCTGTGTCTTTAAGGTCCCTCACTCAGTTATTGACTTTCAAGCGAAGATTCAACCCTAAAGACCCTTCAAGACAACTTACAGATAAAGTTGTATTAAGGCACAGAGCAGGAGAAGGCTATAAAAAACATTTCAAATACCCTCAATATGGCTTTGAGCACAGTGAAGACAATATTTAAGAAGGGGAAGACACTTATACATGGCCTAAATCAGGCTATCCCTCCAAACTAAACAGTCAGGCAAGAAGCACACTGGTTAGTGATCAGGAGGCCAAAAGCAGCTTTGAAAGAGTTACAGATTTCAGCGGCTAAGAAGGGAGAAAAAATCAAGAATTGTGGCAGAGATGGGAGACAAAGTGACATGTGGCAACAATATCTCGGTCACTCCACAAAGGGGACTTGTATAGAACTGAAATAAAAAACATGTCAAACCCCACTTGGGGTTTACAACAAAGCACCTAAGTTATACTGCAAACATGTGGAAAAAAGTTTTGTGGTCAGACAAAACCACAAAAGGAAGGGTCAAGGAGGGGCCTGAATAGTTTCGCAAGGCACTGTATATGCTTATTTAGACATGTTTAAAGAAAAATCTAAAGTTTACCAGTGGTTTTAAAAATTTATGAGAAACGAAACAGAAAAACATTGAAACTATTATAATGTGCGCAGTTATATGAACTATAAAAGGAGATTTGTTTTGTATGAGTGATGAGCCTCTGATATTACTTCAGTCAAATGTATTTATTGTTACACAGCAGCATTTAAGTTTCTTGTAACCATCCAGCAACATCACATTGCTACTCAATTAAAACCTAACAAGCAAAGAAGCACTCTTGATGGTATATGCAATAAGTTTTTCTTGTGTTTTCTTTGATGTTCAGATGAACTCTGGTTTTTAATTAGGAAACTTTTTTTTTAATTCATCAGACTCCATGGTGTCAAAGGACACATCAGGCTTCTTACCATATGGAAGGCACAGTTATCTAAAGTGATCCAGATTCCTCTAAATCCATCAGTGGGTAGGTAGTAGTAGGTAGTTAGGACCTTGGTTGTGCTTTTTTCCTTGCACTTCTCATTTAGTAAACTTTCTACACTTTCAGATGTGTAAGACATTTCTTTCAGCAAGGTACTTATAGCTTTTTCTCTATATATTTGACTCTCAGACTAGCCATTTTCTCATACTCTTGCTCACAATAAAACCAATTAGCTTAAGAACATAAGAACACATGTGAATGAGAGGAAACAAGTTGGTGTTTAGCAACTCATTGATCCTAGAATCCTCACCCACCATTTTCTGAAAGAAAGGGTATGAGTTTCAATAAGATGGCTGAGTAGCTTGCTCCATACTTCCACAACCCTTTGTGTATAGACGTGCCTCATGTGCTTAGGTATAAAATCACTTCACCATAGTTTTCACTTCTGTTCTCTGGTTCCTGTTTCAATGTCCATTCTAAAGATGTTCACTTTAAAGCCTTTATACATGCTTTTCCAACGTGTCTACCTGTCAGAGCCACTCTCCTGTTTTTAAATTTCAGCTGCTCTTACAGACCTGTAGGCAGCAAACAGAGCAGCAGCACATCTGTCACTGCAAGCTCGCAGCAACCGGCAAACAGCAAGAGACTATTAAATAGTGTCTCCTCTATTTTATATATTTATTATAGTAGATAGAATTAAATAGTTCAGGTAGGCTGCAAAGGAACAAGCAATAGGTTTATTCCATGCTAACACACCTGGAGAAGTCTCCACAGCTGAAACATTTTCTTTCTTCTCTTTTCAGCATGGAATAAACCTATTACTTGTTCTTTGATATAATCAAATGTATAATTTAGATTTAAAACTAGAATAATTCAATTAACATTATTTCAATCTCTGCATATCTAATGCTTATTCTTACATTAAATCATTTAATTCATGCACAAGCCAATCCAAGAAACATTTTTCTCCTTTTCATTTCAAAGATAATTATGCCTCCATAAATATGGATAATGAATCACTTTTACGCAGTCAAAGTAAAAATAATAATTCAAAGAAAATGTAAAGTGTATCAGGTATCAGAACTAAAGATGAGTGCATCTGATACAGGTTTTACAAGGGAAATATTTATGTCTGCATTACACTCTCCTTCCCCCAAGCCACCCTCAAAATATATTTTAAATCACTAACATCAAGCAACATGACAGTATTCGGCTCAAAAAATCCATTAGTAGATGCATAGATTCCTGACTTGTTCAGACATGACAAAATTAGTTAGCAAAATTAATCTTCTGTTTAGGTAGTAAAACACAGATGAAGGCAAAGTCTTGATAAATGGTATTCTTGAGAAGCCCAAACCTTGATAGACAAGCTGTGATTTTCTTTCTTTAGTAACCATGACACATACCTTTCTTAGCTTGTATGAATGTAAAACTAAGTTTCCAGAAGAATGAAACACATTTTGACATTTCCTAATCAGCTGACAAAGCACTATTCTTTTAGCATAGGTAAATTGTAGGATTATACACAAAGACTCCTTAATATCAGAAGACAATTTAATTACACCTGAGGTGTCCTGAGACACCCTGCAGGAATGGTTAGGAAAAACACTATCACTACATTTCTTTTCAACATGTTTGTGTTTGCCTAGTCCAACGTTGTTGCCAACTTTCTCTGGTAGGGTTTGCTCACAACATCATGCACTCATTTGCAATAAAGGCATAAGTTGGATTTTAATAAGCTGCTTTAATAAGCAGGTTGAACGGCATAAAATGGTACCGAGCTAAAATGCAACAATTACATTTTTTGTCTCAATGATTTACTGAATGTTGTCATTCCAACATGCACTAACAAAATAGAGGTAAAGTCTTTAACTGTCAGTCATTATCATTCATCTCATCCACAGATAATCTCAGTATGCATAAAAAGACCACACATAAAGAAAATTACAAAGGTGCATAATGGGTTATGTATAATGAGTGTACTTTAAAACAATTTGATTCCTTATCGTTATGCTCCAGGACAAAAAAAAAAGAAGTTTCAGACAGGATGCATGCAAGATATATTCTGTTTGCAAGTTGCAGAAACAAGAAGCCCTCAAGTAAATCAGACACTGAGTAGTAAGCCTACAATGCCTTGGAAATTAACCAAGTTTGATGACTCCTGCAAGTAATTTCCATGGGCAAATATTGTTGCCACCCCTTTTGTGTGAACAATATGAATATTCCCCTGACAATTGTCAGTTACATAAATTACAACCATTTTCAGTACTGATAACAGGCCATGTGGAAAGTGCTGCCTGTCAGATGTATTGTAAATCTCAAAAACTCCTCATATCAGAGTGTAGAATCACAGCTTTAAGATAATATTTTTTTTATTTTCAAGCAATACACTAGAACTACTCACAAGCAGTGCCCAAGTACTGTACATGCCATGCTTTTCATCACTTTTAAATCAGTTTGGAATTAACACCTGGAAATTTGCAATTCAATAAATGAGACTTAGTATACTACTATTTACTTCTTGAATGTGACTGTTATTGTTACATATATAACTTAGATGAAAACTGTCAAGTTACATTGGCCATTGAAATACAACAAAAGGTGTAGGGGTCTTTTGCCTCCTATTTGGGAGATTGGACTTTTTCTTCAGTTTGCCTAGAGAATCCAAACAGGGAACAGATTAGCCTAATCTTTATCATAAAATAAGCAAACTAAATATTATCAATCAACCCTTAATCCCAAGGTTTAAGTGTATGCTTATGAGAATCGGTTGGAGTTCAAAGATATTTTCAAACATTAAATGTGAATTACATTTTAATACCAATATGGAACCAGAAGAACTGGGCAGCGCTTTACGTTGTCATAAAATTACAATGCAGAGTAGCCCTCTTCAAAGAATATAATAAAACAAAGAGAAACAGGTATTTTTCATCGGTTGGCCAAACCCATTCATTGCTCCATTAACTGAACAACTTCTGTTGCCATTATGCTACTATTTGACCGTCTGTTTTTATTTTGAATCTTTTTTTCTCTCGGTTTTTTTAGTGACTGTTTTTGCATTTGTAAGCTTTGCTGGAGTAATTGTTACATTCTAAAAGCCTAGGAACTGGGAGATGGAAAGAAAATTAAAAGGAGAAGGCGAAACCCAGAATTGGGGATTCTGTGAATCAGTAAGTGCTATATAGGACGCAAAATAAACGAATGTTCACTTGAAAGTCGGAAACATGTTGGTGGTTCTTCGCTTGCAAAAAAGCTGACGTAGAAGCATTGACGTTTAAACTAGGATGTTTTTCTTTTAACAGGTAGTTTATTTTGGATTTCGGTTTGTCTTGACACCGTTTTATATCGTTGTTTAGGTTAGCACTACTCCACAACACATAGAACAGAGGGAAAAAACCTGTTGAATGATATTTTTGCTTATTTTTATAAAAACGAAACTTATTTGCATATAGAAACCTATCATTTTGATTTTCAAAGTTACCCAGGTTTTCTCTAAGAGTAAGGTCAAGAGAATAAAAATTGTGACGACCTGAAGATTTTACTGAAGTGGCGTGATTTGTTAGAGGGGATTTGTGTAGTTGTGTAGCTAATCGGTAGAGCACGGATCACAGCTCCACACTGCTTCTTCGTAAACTTGTCGAACGTAATCATGCATTGTCTTTGAAATAGTAGATATGTATGATGGAATGATGTCTGAACGGTTCAGACCCCAACAGCAAAATATAAAACCCGTCTCCTGAAGGTTCAAGGGGTAAAAGATTTAACAGTATGACAAATACCTACTTTAACACATAACCTCCTAATATGATATGCACGTACAATAGCCTAAAATCAATTTTAACGCCTGTACACACAGTGATTAAATTGCCCTTGAGGTAATATTTAACTTCGTGTACCTGAACTGATAAAGACGTCTGGGTGAATCGCCTCACTCAACGACAGCAGAGGGGTTCAACCGAAACTGCAGCTATTTCACCTAAAACGTTTTGAAAACAGTTTTTTTATGGAGTTTATTTTTTTAAAAGTGCAAAAAGTAGAAAACACATTTACAACTATATACATTTACACGTTTTACAATTTAATCCAAACTTGGATACAAATTTACAATAAGGTAACCCCCACATCTCCAAATAAACGGGTTATAAGCAAATCTGCAATCTCCCTTTCCTTGAACATCCAGTGGTCTCCCGATAAATTAGACCAATAAATAATTTGCAAACTGGCCTAAACATGAGAATCGATGGGAAAGCACCATAATACTGTACTGGCACTACATACATCTTGAGAAAATTAAATAAAAAAATTAAGCATTGCTGTAATTGCAGTAGTAAACGGCGGTACTGGCATCGGAAAGAACGGAAGAAATAAGATTCTCTGGGGCAGGCATATTTGTGTCGTGTCCATTAAAAGAGAGGCCTACAATGTCGGGACGCACGGCAGAGTTCAAATACTGTTCAAACTCATTGCGATCCACATCTCCAAGCAGCTCGGACGGATGCATTTGTTCCACGTTGTCCGTGTGGTGTGCGTCAGGTGGAGGCGAGAGCTGCCCACTTTGTTGTCCTTGGGTGTGTTTTGAGCCAGTAGGACCACACAACTGACTATAGTACATGGCCAGTGAGTTATGGCATCCCATTAAACCCGGCAAAGAGTTATTTGGTGCAATCTGTTCTGACAGGTGTCTCCTGAGCATGGGGTTAGCGTGGTGCTCCTGCGGAGGGTAGTCGGTGGCCTGGGGGTGGTACGCGTAGGCGGGCATCATGTGGCAGTCTTCTTGGGAGTGGGGGTGCGGAGAGAAATAAACAGAATCGTTTTCTACAACATCCAGGGGCGAAGTGTCGGGCGTTGGTAAATTGTAAGATTCGTAATGTGCCCCCATATTTTGGGATTCCCGATAGTGGTTCATCTGAGGAAGCTGGCTCTGGACGGGATAGCTGTGCTCGTGGTAGTTGAGGCTGTCCACACAGACTCTGCCCTCGTTCCCCAGAGCCGAGCCCTGATGGTCGGACACGCCGTGCACTAAGAAGCCGGTCTCCAGCCTCTTGATCCTCTTCACCTGCTTCCTCCGTCTGGGCCGGTACTTGTAGTTCGGATGATCCTGCATGTGTTGTACTCGAAGGCGCTCTGCCTCTTCCACAAACGGGCGCTTTTCTGCCATCGGCAGGGCTTTCCAGGATTTGCCTGAGACAAAATAAAGTGAACGGTGGTTATTCGCATGAAAATGAGGCTCCAAAAGTCTTTAACAAAAGTCTGTCACTGCTTTCTGCGCTAAGTCTTCACCTCCGCCTAAATACGTCTCAGAATTTCTCGGAAAATATCTCTACACACGAAGGTGATGGTGAAAAGCAATTCGCACCCCTTTCACAGACACTACCACCGCCCCCGTGTCTTCTGTTTGAAATTTCCGGGTTAAGCATGCCTCAAAGCTTTTATAAAAAAAAGGCAGTTTGTAACATTTACATCGTGACGCGAAAGCTCCTTTTGATGTGGTGCTTTTTTAACCGCTAGAGCAACATGCAACGGCGTCGTTTTTAAGGTAATCAACACCGTTTAGCGTCGATAAAAGTCTGATTTAAAAAAAAAACGGTTAATTACTTACCCAGCATTTTGCTCAGCTCTGCATTGTGCAGGTCGGGATTTTGCTGTGCAAGTCGCTTGCGCTCATCTTTTGCCCAAACCATGAAGGCATTCATGGGGCGTCTTATCCGTGGTTCAGCTTTCCCTCTGTTATGGTTTCCAGAAGTTGAGGAACAGGCTTCACTTTTGATTTTCCCCTCGCCTAGAGGACTCAAGGGGTCTGTCCACTGGCAGTGTCCGATACCAGGCATCATGATTGACATCGTACACCTTGCCTGGGTCTGATCGTCACTGGCGTACCCAGCATCCGGGCTGCTCATTTCTGTTCAGCTTACAATTTTTCTTGTTATTTTTTTTTCTTTCCGTTCTTCGGGATGAAGATTTTTTTTTTTAAAGGAGGTTAAAAACGAAGAAAAGCGTCGGAGCGTTAGCCACTTCGCTAAAAAAAAATATTAAAAAAAAACAATGTGCAGTGGAATCTCTACTGGTAAAAAAAAAATGAAAGTGCAAGAGTCTGCTTAGTACTCTTCTCCATTCATTTCAGTTCTGTCTCTGAGACATTGGACAGCGCAACGACCTTTAAACATGTCGGTAGCCAATCACTGGAGACCGGGGTAGGTCTGACTCTACTAAGGTGTGAGAAAATGTAGAAACTCCGCCTGTTACCATTTTCGGGCCGTCTACCCCCTGCGGAGCGTTAATGCGCTCAGACTTAATGAGAAAGCTGAAAAATGAATTGGACAGTCCACAAGCTTTCGTATTGTGCCATAGTGATCCTAAAAGAAAAACATTTTGGATAAAAAAAAATGCATTTTGTGTGGCCTGACTCGGTCTTTTGTAATTCACGCGTGAGTTACATATTTTGTTTGCCTTGCGCATTGTGCACCTTTACCTTTTCCCTTTCATTTCGAAAGAGTGGAGGACTGCGACATGTCAGTTATTCATTTTCAAACGTGAAATATTTCAACGTCCTGTTAAAATGAAAGAGATCTAACACAAAATATAAAACAAGTGTTTGTTATGTTTATTCATTGTCCAGGGAACAAGAAAAGAAGTTATCAGTGGCTTGTTTGGCGTTTAGCTTAATATCATCTGCACGCCGGAACTGGAATGAATATAATATTAAACTAACTACACGACTTAAATTTGCAACTAACATCATAACACACAAACGCGCGTACCTAGTGATGAGTAGACCCGGTGTTATACGAGCGAATTTCATTCGGATGAAAGATAAATAAAAAAGTAAATGAAGCTAAGCGGGTAGTTTTTATGTTCAGCCTCAAGTGAAACGGAACTTCGTCACGGTTTTCTAATATTTATTTTTAAAATGAAAACGTATACCAATAATCACAATAATTGTAACAACAGAACATGACGGCATTCTTTTATATTTATATTTTCCAGTTTCCGTTTTTCGATCTGTTCCCTTTATCTAAAGTTTAAAATTCAGGTTTAATTTCTGTAGATTCATGGGAGGTAAGCAGTGATCCCATCATCTAATGATTAAAGATTTCCAGCGCCTTACGCATTACTTAATACACAAAATAAACATTATAAGGACAACAGTCAAAGAAAAATCCCATCAGATCTCCCATAATATGTTTATTGTAAATGTAAACGTTTAAATTTAACCTTCACAATCTGTTTAGATTGCTTGTGTGTCCGTGTTTTGAGAGCATGCCTTTTATTGCTTGTCCGGTTTGGAAATACAAGTTTCCTTCGTCCTTCCGCGTTGAACTTGGCTTTCAAAACAGGTTCATAGTCCCTAGAACAGAAAGTATCGCACTTCTGTAAACAATACACATACATTTTGTGGATATTATGAATTTTAATTCTATAGCGGCTTCAAACGTTTGAGCAAAGTTTGCGATGTCTAGAATCCATAAACCTATTATTAAGCAGTCAATAAACTAGAATGCTTAACAAAATAACGTTTTGCTTAGATTGACTTACCAGGAGCCTGAAAATGCAAACTACAAACGAATGTGTAGGGTTTTTATGTACAAGAATAAGGGAAGAAATGTATCTCTCTCACTATATGTAACATAAACAGAATTATACAATCCCTTATTTCGATGTAGTATGTAAATCTTTAGGACCAGGCGTATGCTGAGGATAAGATCTAAATCCATTTGAAGTTATTCGTTAAATTGAATTTACAGATTTTAACAAATGGCGTTAGGCCACAACTTGATTATCAGTCACATTTGGGCCATAACTTAATAAGGAATCAACTTTGGTCTATGTCTACAACGACTTAAAGTGGTAAGGGTGTGGTCTATTCGAGATGAGCAATCCCTTTGTTTCGCCGACAAGCGGCTCTGGTGGGACATCCGATTAATTTAACGTTACAGAAATCCCCCCAAAATGGCCACACTGTCGCACACCTGTTGTGTTTCAAACAAGACTGGAAAACATACACCTCCTCTTTGCCAACTTTTAGCTCATTCTGTAGTTTATGACAAGACAACAAATCGAACGACTTTATTCGGGTGGGATATTTTTCAGCAGCTGTGATTCGGTGGTTATGAATACTAAATCGGTTATTTGGAATATAATTGGAAGCTTTCATTTCAAAGCCAGTTCATGAATAGGGTCTTCATTTGATTCATTCATTACGTCATTTGATGTCGAATAGCAACTCGAGGTCTGTTTGTAGTGGTACCAGCATCGAGTTTCCTTGGGCGATCCAACTGAAGAAGGCGCAGTCCGGCTAATAATATAGGAACGGATATGCGCTTTGAACGTGTGTCTGTGACATGAGCCGAATACTGCCTTCCTCCTTTATAGAATAACATCACAATAGGAGCAAAACATATATGATTACACATGATTATGCCGCTAAATTATAGTATTTTACACGTTAGGAAACGTTTGTTATTTGTAATAAAATGTATACGTTGCTTTACAAAGATGACAACTTTACCGTATTTATGGTTCAATGGTTTACTCAGCTAGTCAGCGAGCCTGATCACAAGCGAATTTCTTCGGATGTTAAAGGACAATTTTTAAAGATCTGAAATATAAGGCTGGTGTTAGAGGTATGTTTTGTACATAAATATAAATGTTTAGCATTAATTATTTGAAAGGCCCACATAGTTTTTGTCTTCCTGTAGCATGCCAACATAATCATGTATTCTTCTTTTGAATTTATATGAAGAGAAACAGACATCAATACTTGTTTTTTTAAATAAAATTAAAGATACTTCAGTCAAATAAATGTTTTTTTTAATAATTATAGAAACATGAAGCTTATGTTTCTTCCATATTTAGGACTATGAGCAAAATTAATCCTTACCATACAAATCATGGTTTACAAAAGAAAAAAGTCTGAACATTTATTGGTCTGGTTCTACAGTTTTTCCTTTAGTACATCAATTTGAGCGTTTTTTTGTTTATTTGCAAGGTTATCACATACCAGACCTAAGACATTGGGATATACAGTTCTATTGATTTTAGGCAGGAACAGATTTAAAAATCTGCACCTACTCATTTCCATTCTACTAGATGCAAATTCATAAAATGGCATCTTTCAACTCTTGCAGAAGCACGGTATTCTACGAACATCATTTCAGGCAATGAAAAGAAAACATGTAAAATTCAGATCAATTCACCACCCAGTATACAATGGTTTCCAGATTTATGTGGATGTCTCCAAATCTTACCCAAATCCAGCTCCACAAAGAAAAAGTATAAACAAAGCATTGCTCACGCAAACATTTATTGACTGTAATCACTCAGCCAGAGAAAACCTAAATAGCTTAAATCAGAAAAAAAGAACAAAGGGTTTGAACTGATATACTGCACCCCATCCCATCCCCCATATTTGAACAATCCGATGTTATAGGATAAGCTTGTCAAGAAACTCAGAAATCATTCAAAATAACTATTTCTTTGTTGGTTGCATTTTGTAAATGTAGACATGCCTATAACTGTCACCACAGGTCAAGAGAAAGATCATGATCATCAAATCCCTGCAGAGTTGTTCCTGGTGGAAAAAAATTACAACTCAACCTCTTCATAGAGTTATGTGTTAGCTTTGCTGACATGCTGCAAACTTAAGAAGCAATTATATGCACAGTAGTCCACCTGTTGCAGATGTAATTATTCTATATACATGTATAACCATGGGTTTTAATAGAGCATTGTACCTCAAAAACTCATAGTTTTGAAAGCCCGGTGCCATCACAGAAAACACTCCCAGTGTTCCAATCAGACCAACTATACACAAGTGATAAGCCTGGGTGTCCTTTTCCCTGCTACCACTTTTTAAAGAGAGCAAACAGTTGAAACAATGGGTAGCACAGGGGAATGAGAGTCTTGAGATCAAAGTTTCTCACAGGATAATCAATGATCTAAGGTAACAGTAGGTTAAAATGTCACAGGCTACCTGCTTCAGAAAGTTTGCTTCCATCCCCTCCAATGCTTTTGTCTTCAAATTGCATGACTGCAGAAATAGCACATGGCCTTATCTATGAGCTCTGTGTTAAAAGAGGTCTCTTGCTGTGTTTGCAAGCACAGAAAAACAGTACTGCCATGTTGCATTTGAAGTATAATTGCCAAACATGTGTAATAAAATTATGTGACATTATCATACCACTTGCTGCAGTGCCCTAACATTGCCTAAGTAAAAAATATTGACAGTCTCAAATCACAGATGTCTGTGTGCCTTTCGGACTGTCATAGTTTCTTGGATGCCATAAACTTGCATTAGTGGAACAACAAAGGCAGCAATTCAAAAGCTTGAACTGCTGCTATTGAAAAAGAAGAGATTCATTTTTATTTATTTTGCCCTGCATTTCTATGATTTTTTCTTTGCTATTGATGCTCTTTTTTAACTCCATCCTATCTACTTGACTGGGCTATGTATAAAAGCACTACTCCAACAACATACAGCTAGCCACACAGCAATGGATATAGATTTGCAAACAGGTTTTGCATGAATAGTAAATAAGCAGAAGTAGTTGGCTCACTGCACAGGTAAATGGAGAACAGATATGGAATGTACAGTGCAAATACATCCCCAGACCAGAATGTAAATTTTGTCTGTGAGTCCAAAAATGCAGAACAAACTGTTCTAGAAAACGAAAGATAATAGGGGACAACCAAATAGTATTATCCTAAGTTGCTAGTCATCTTTATGTTTTGCACGAATTTTAAGAAGCTTTTTATACATATTTCAGAGTAGCTGTGATATGTTTTTTTATTCATTTAATTAATTTGAGAGGTATTTTTCACTATGCGTGGTCCACATTAAAAAAACTAGTATACAAACTGTAGAATAAATGGACTTTTCAGTTTAAAATATTTCATATTCTTCTTTACATTGAAAGTAACATTTATTAACTGAGTGGGGCTTTGGTTAATTTGAATTTTCAGAGCATAGACTATTTCATATGAAAGTAGGATCATTTGCACTATAGACGTGTACTAGAAATAAAGATTTTAAAATGTTATATTTCATTTTTAGAGATGTTTTGATTCAACATAGCCTTGTGTGCACCAAAATTATCCATCCATTGATTT